AGACCTAACTAGTAGAATAGATGAGTGAGAACCCATGGATGTGGTACAATTCGGTCATCAAAAAGTATTTGATAAAGTCCCACATAACTGGTTATGACAAAAAAGCAAAGCATGTGGGATTGGTGGTAATACACTGTGATGGACTGAGAGTTGGGTAGTAGTCAGGAAAGAGTAGGAATAAGTGGGTTATTTTCAAAGTAGCAGGTGATATTGCACTGATCAGTGATTGGGCCCCAGAAATTCATAATATATAATTGACATGGATGAGGGAATCAAATGTAATATTTCCAAGTTTATGGATGACACAAAACTAGGTGGGAATGTAAATCATGAGGATGTAAAGAGACTTCAACTTATCTAAGTTGAGTGAGTGGGTAAATAGATAGATTGGGAAAGGTTGACGTACAAACAGACCTGGATGTCCTTTATTTATTTGTCATTAAAAACATGCAGGTGCAGCAAGCAGTTAGGAAGGCAAATGAAATATTAGCCTTCATTGCAAGAGAGTTTGTGTACAAGAGTAAGGAAGTTTTACTGCAGCTGTACAGGGCATTGATGAGACTACATCTGGACTATTGTGTGGTTTTGGCTTCCTTTCCCGAGAAAAGATATACTTAGAGTCATACAGCTGTACGGCATGGAAACAGACCCTTCAGTCCAACTCATCCATGTAAGCCAGGTATCCTAAATTAATCTAGTCCCAGCATTTGACCCATATCCCTCTAAACCCTTCCTATTCATATACCCATCCAGATGCCTTTTAAATGTTGTAATTGTACCAGCCTCCTCCACTTCCTCTGGCAGCTAATTCCATACACGCACCACACTCTGCGTGAAAATTACCCCTAAGGTCCCTTTTAAATCTTTCCCCTCTCATCTTAAACTACGCCATTTAGTTTTGGAATTCCCCATCCCGGGGAAAAGACCTTGATTATTCATCCTATCCATGCCCCTCATGATTTTATGAACTGCTATAAGGTCACCCCTCAGCCTCAGACACTCCAGGAAAAATAGTCCCATCCTATTCAGCCTCTTCTTATACCTCAAACCCTCCAACTCTGGCAACATTCTTGCAAATCCTTTCTAAACTCTTTCAAGTGTCACAACATCCTCACAATAGCAGGGAGACCAGAATGGAATGCAGTATTCCGAAAGTGGCCTAACCAGTGTGCTGTGCAGCTGCAATATGACCTCCCAACTCCTATACTCAATGCACTAACCAATAAAGGCAAGCATACCAAACACCTTCTTCACTATTCTATCTATTTGTGACTCCACTTTCATGAAACTATGAACCTGCACTCCAAGGTCTCTTTGTTCAGCAGCACTCCCCAGGGCCTTCCCATTAGGTATATAAGTCCCGTCCTGATTTGTCTTTCCAAAATGCAGCACCTCACATTTATCTAAATTAAACTCCATCTGCCACTCCTCGGCCCTTTGGCCCATTTGATCAAGGTCCCGTTGTACTCTGAGGTAATCTTCTTTGCTGTCCACTACACAACTAATTTGGTGTCATCTGCAAACTTACCAACCATACCTCCTACGTTCACATCCAAATCGTTTATACAAATGACAAAAGCAGTGGACCCAACTCCAATCATTGTGGCACACCGCTGGTCACCAGTCTGAAAAGCAACATTCCACCACCCCTCTCTCTCTCCTACCTTCGAGCCAGTTCTGTATCCAAATAGTTGGTTCTCCCTGTATTCCATGTGATCTAACCTTGCTAATCAGTCTACTATGCGGAACCTTGTCAAATGCCTTACTGAAGTCCATACAGATCACATTGACTGCTCTGCCATCATCTGTCCTCCTCATTACTTCTTTAAAAAACTCAATCAAGTTAGTGAGACACGATTTCCCATGTAGAAGGCCATGTTGACTAACCCTTGTCGGTCCTTGTCTTTTCAAATACATGTAAATCCTGTCCGTAGGATCCCCTCCAACATGCCCACCATTGATGTCAGGCTTACCAGTCTATAGTTCCTTGGCTTTTCCTTACCACCTTTCTTAAATACAGGTACCATGTTAGCCAACCTCCAGTCCTCCAGCACCTCACCTCTGGCTATTGATGATATGGTTTTAACCATAGAGGAATGCAGCAAAGGCTCACCAGACTGATTTGTGGTATGGCAGGCCTGTTGTATGATGAGAGATTGGGTGGACCAGATTTGTATTGACTGGAATTTATAAGAATGAATGGGAATTTCATTAAAAAGTATAACGTTCTGACACGGTTAGACAGACGAGCTATAAGAAGTCCAAAACAAAGGATTATGGCCTCAGGCTATGTGATAAATCATAAACTGAGAGGAGGAGAGATTTCTTCATTTGAGAATGGTGAATCTGTTGAATTTTCTACAACAGAAGGCCATGGAGATGAAGTCAGTGAATATATTTAAAGAAATAGATAGATTTCTAGGGTATCAAGGGATATGTAAAGAGAACAGCAATATGGCACTGAGATTGAGAATGAAATTTGATCACGCTGAACGTGGGCTCAATTGGCCGAATGACTTACTTCACCTATTTTCTAAGTTTCTACATTATGTCACATGAATGTGTTAAGGCAATATCGTAGAAAGGAAGACAAGGAAAAGGAAGTATTTCAGGTGTTACGAGTAATGCGGAATGACAGAGATGGTAAGAGTGAGGGAGAAGAGGAGATAGATAGTTCACAAAGGAGACCTCCTACAATCTGGCTAGCTAATATTGAAATACTGAGACAGTTAGACACTATATTCATGTATTCAAAGCAAGGCCAACAGGAAGATCTAAAAAGGTTGCTTAGGAAATTAGAAGAAATCTGTAGAGCTACACCTTGAAAAATATGAATCAGGAGCAGGAGAAGGCTATTCAGTCCCTCAAGCTTGCTCTGCCATTCAATAAGACCATGGCTAATCTGATTGTAACCTCAAATCCATAATCCTGCGTACCCCGATAACCTTTCAATCCTTGCATAACAAGGACCTATCTACCTCCGCTGTAAGACTACTCAAGGTCTATGCTTTCATCAATTATTAAAGGACAGCATTCCAAAGATTCACAACCTGCAAAAAAAAACTTTGCCTCATTTGTTTTAAATGGGCAACCCTGATTTTTAATCAGTACTCCCCCACTAGTTCCAGATTCTCCCATTATGGGAAATGTCATCTCCACATCTAACCTGTCAAGATCTTCAAAATTTTATGTTTTAATCAAGTCACCGCATATTTGTCTAAATTCTAGCAGAAGGAAGCCTAGCACGTCCAAACTTTCCTGTTAAAGCATTCGTTTAGTAAATCTTCTCTGAGCTGCCTCCAACACATTTATATCCTTCCTTAAATAAGGTGACCAGTAATGTGCACAGTACTACACATGCAGTCTGACCAGTGTTTTCATTCTATTAGCTTTCCTAATTATTTACTGTGTCAGCATGCTAATTTTTTGTAATTCACGCACAAAGACACCCACGTCCTTCATCTCAGACTCTGCAATCTCACTATTTAGATAATAAGCTTCTTTTTTTAGTTTTTTTGCCAAAATGGACAATTTGCCAAATTATACTTTATTTGGCATATCTTCTCACTCACTTAACCTCCTTGTATCCTTTTCAGAACTTAAATACAACCATAATGTTAGCAAGGAATGATTCAATGCTGTAAAATCAATACTAATAATATTATCATTTAAATCTCAATAAACAAATCATTGTTATAAATAAAAATTCAATGCAGACTAAACATTTGGAATTCATTGATAATGTTAGTTTCTAAATTGGTCAACTAGATTCTGCATATACTACAGAAAATAAATGCAATGACAAAAACAAGCTGAGGTCCCAATTGTTTGGAAAGAAGATTATATCGATAGGTTGATTCTCTCTCCTTTCTTTCTAAGGATCAAAAAGAGAGATCAGCTTTTGTTACACCAAAGTCAAGTCATGTCAATCAGGTTTAAAAATGCCCCAGCTACATTCCAAAGACTTATGAACCAAATTGTAGTTAAAGTGCCTGATTGTGCCATTTATTTAGATTACATCATAATATACCGTAACATTTGAAAAGAATATGTAAAGCAATTAGAAGATATATTTAAGTAGGTAGAGATGGCCAGCTTAGTAATAAATCTTGCCAAAAGTGAGTTCACAAAAGTCAGGGTAATTTAACTAGGACACAATCACAGGGCAAGGGAAAGTGTCACCAAGACCAGCAAAAGTGAAGGATTTGACAGAATTCCCTGTTCCTAAAACTAAATGGAAAACCATGAGATTTCTGGGATGTATGCTTTTTTTTAAAATCATTCAGGTCTAACTTCATAGCTGCACCTTTAACAGATTTATTGCAAAAACAGACAAAGGTAAAATGGCTATAAAAAAAACAGAGCCAAACAGCTTTTGAGAAGCTGAAGGCAATCCTAATGAATGAATTGATGTTAGACTCCCCTGGCTTTACTAAACCTTTTAAAATGGGAATTGATGCTAGTGGGTGTGGTTTTATTGCAAAATGATTAATTGGGAAATAGAAGCCTGTGGGGTACTTGTCTAAATTATACCAGCATCAAAAGAAGGACAAAATTAATAAAACTGTCACGAAGCATTTCTTTGCACTGAATGACTAATAACTAGAACTAATTTTCAAGAAGGATGATTGAGACCAAGACATTAAGTTGTAAAGTGAATACGTGGGTTAGTATACTGCAAGAATAAAATCCACTGAGTGAAAGATCCTTTCCATCCCAAACTGTCTTATGATTTAATTTAACCAGAACTATATAAAAACAAAAAAAAATTGTTTCTAAATTGAAAACAGATGCAGTCAACAATTGTAAAATGCAACATTATCTCATTGAAAGATTTTTGCATTCAGAAACGTAACAATATGACTCTTAAAAAAAGGCACATTTACATATATACAAATATAAAGGTATATTATCAATGATTAGGTTTCTTTGAAAATTAGAAGGATTCTCTTTAACTGCACTCCAGTTGGGAAGAAGGAAAGACTACATTAAATACTTACAAAAAGCTGGTATGAAAATGTCAGAATAAATTGCACACTGTACACTTGTTCAGATGGTTGGAGTGGTAGCTCGAGGTGGAAATTCAGACGATCCATCTTCCCATCCTGATTTTGGTCTTCTTCCATAGCCTGTGGAGACAGTATGTAACGTAAAACAGCTATGCTTTCTGTCACAACATATTTTGATTCATTTAAAAAAAAAACGATTTCCAAGATAAATAATACAGGTCATCTTGCATTTATAGAATATTATTGTTTGAAAAACATTAAGAGCTCAGAGAACATTAATAAAACTCTGTGATGACTATTCACCATAATCTGTGAAAGCAGAGAATGAAGTGCAAGCAATGAGTTTCAAGTTATACAAGATCCTAATCTAATTCTGCACAAATCCACCAACCTCCATCCTCCCAATTTTACCATCCACCCATATTGAGAGCATATATGCGTACGAGCATGACTTCAGAAATTTTTAAGTATTATATCATAATTGATTTTTAAGGGGAGTAATTTAAAGTAATATTTAGAAATATTTTAAAAATCCCTGTGACAATTTATGATAACTTGCCAAGGTACATTATTTGAATCAGTTATTCATGATCAAAAATGCTAAGAGCATCTTTTGGCAATTAGGCAATGTTATGGACCAGACCAGACCCCCTCAAAAATACATGAAGAAGATAGTCTATACCCTAACATTTTCTTATTTAAAAGCAAATGCCCAGTGTTTTGTTCCGGGTACAATTCAATCGGTCAAAGAACTGGATTTAAAGCAAAACACACTTTATTCATCCACTATAGTTAAAATACAACAAAAAAAAAGAAATTGGCATAACTTAATTCTATTGAAAGACTAAACAGAATAATAGATTATTAACTACTATTAATTAACTGTTCCAATATAGTAACATCCAATATATACACCCTTGGCAAAAGGCAAATTCAGAAAATAGATTGTCTCACATGCAACTCCAGCAGCAGGAAGAGAACCCCCAACTTTAAACTGTAAGAGAGAGAGAAAAATAGCTTCCACTTCTTCAAAATCCCAGCAGCAACTGCTGAAAGCGAAAACTAAAAATCCTGGTTCTGTTGGGCTGCTTCTATTGAACCAACTTTAAACAAAAACATACGGGCTCAAAAACTGTTTGCTTGATGAGTTTTCAATGGACTGTTCAGCACCTATGCCTTAAAACTTCTCTTCAAAAAAAAGGACAAAATGCACCTCTTAAAGTCAAAGTACTGTCACAGAAAAAAACAGGGCTGAAAACTGAAGGCACAATTAACGGGAAATTAGAGATGGAGTTTATGGAAAATTTTGCTTGAACAACAAGCTAGTATTTATTCTGTTATTTAGTGCTTGAATTTACAAAGATCATTATGGCATTGATCAGATTTTCTGCTTCATCTCTACTTTATAAAGAAAATGATTAAACTCAACAAGGTCTTTCAGGCCTATTACTAAAATATATACTTTTGAAGTTGCATGAATTCTAGTACTTAATCTATAAGCACAAAGTTTATTTTAGGTAAAATCCATACAGAGCTTAAACCAAATGCCCAAACTAAACCTAAGAAAACTAAGACAAGATGCATTATTGAGATATCTTTACAATTGACATATACACAAAATTGCAGATGTAAAAAAAAAGTTTGTAATTCAAAGTACCACTGCAACATTATTGACAAAGCAGGTTAACTTCAGAAAATAGCAGATAACAAAGATAACATTGACCAACATCCACCAAGTGTCAATCAGGCTTTTGGACTAAAAGGCAATAAATGTTGTCTTACTAATGCATGGATAAAACTAAATTACATATATAATATTCCCTTTGTTATTTATAAACTATCCCTCTGCAGGTCCAATTCTTTTAGCCCCTTTAGATAATTAAACTGTTCTAAATTAGGTTACAGACTGTAAATCTATAAAATGTAGAAGCATAAATAGGCTATTCAGCCCATTCTTCTCTGCAATTCAATGAGATCTTGTCTGCTCTGAAAATCCACAGCTCTGCTTACCTGCCTTGTCCCCATAACTTTTAGTTCTATCACTGAATAAAATCTGTCAATCTCAGATTGGGGGTGGGGAGCGATGGCCTAGTAGCATGATTGCTCGATATTAATCCAGAGACCCAGGTTCAAATCCCACCATCCCAATTTAAATTCAACAAAAAAGTATAGGATTAAGAATCTAATGATGACCACAAAACCATTGCCGATTGCTGGAAAAACCCTTTTGGTTCATTAATGTCCTTTAGGGAAGGAAATCTGACACCTTTATCTGGTCTGGCCTACAGGTGACGCCAGACCCACAGGTTCACTCTCAATTGAGCATGAGCAATTAGGATGGGCAAAAAACACTGGCCTGACCATGATATTTGCATCCCCAAGAATAAATGAATGACCCAGTCTCCACTGCCCTCTGTGGTAAAGAAGTCCACAGATTCACTACCCACTGAGATTATGGAGTCAGTTAGCTCAGTTGGCTAGATGGCTGATTTGCGATTGACAGTGATGCCAATAGTACAAGTTTAATTCCCACACACTGACCCCTGTTTGAGGCATGGTAATCCTCAAGTTAAATTCAGCACCAGTTATCTCTGTCTCTCATGAGAGAGTAGCATTACGGCTCTCTTGGACTTTGTTGCTTACTACCTAACAAATTACACCTCATCTCTGTACTGAGTGACCCCTTATTCTGAGATTATATCCTCTGGGCCTAGGCTCTCCCGAAAGGGGAAAACAAATCTCTCCACATCTAGCTACATCGAGTCCCCAAAGAATCTTGCACGTTTTAACAAAGTTGCCTCTCATTCTATTCAACACCAATGAGTACAGGCCTATTCTATTTAATTTCTCTTTATAAAACACTCCCTCCATACCGGAGATCAACCAAATGAACTTTCTCTGGACAACCTCCACTGCCAGTATAACTTTCATTCGATAGCAGCCCAAAACTGTTCACAGTATTCAAGCTGTGGTCTGACTAATGCCTTGTATAGTTTCAGCACTTCTTCCTTATTTTTATACTTCATTCTTTTTGAAATAAAAGATCAACTTTCCATTTACCTTACCTTTTATCTGCTGAACTTGGACACGATTTATACACAAGGGCTCCCAAATCCCCCTGTGCTGTAGCTTCCTGCAATCTTTCTCCATTAATATTCAGCTTCTCTAATGTTCCTGACAAAGTGCATAAGTTCATTTTCTCACATTCTTTTCCATCTTCCAAGATTTTTTCCTGATTACTTAATGTGTCTACATTCCTCTGCAGACTCTATCATCCTCACAACTTGCCATTTAACCTATTTTTCTGTCATTTGCAAACGTGGTTATTAGTACATTCTCTTTTCTCATCTAAGCCATTAGTGTATAGTGGAAATAATTGTGGCCCAAGCACTGATCAGTGCACTAGTTACACATTGCTGTCCAGAAAATGCACCCTTTCCACTCTTAGCCCAACCTTCTGGCTTTTATTAGTTAGCCAGTCCTCTAACCATGCTAATATATCATGTCCATCACCATGAGGTCTTACTGAAAAGCCTAAAACGTGGCACCTTATCAGACCCCTTCTGGAAATCCAAATACATTATCCACTGGCTTCCTTTTATCAATCCTGCTTGTTACCTCTTCGAAAACTTCTAATAAATTGATCAGGCATGAGCCATGTTGACTCTTCTTGGTTATCTTACGTATTTCTAAATGCTCTGTTGTTACATCCTTTATAGTAGATTAACATTTCCTCAATAACAGATGTTAAATTAAGTGACCATAAGTTACCTGTTTTTGTTCCCTTCACTTTTTAGTTAAGGGGTTACATTTGCAGTTTTCCAATCCTCTGGCACTTTTCCAAATTTTAAGGATTCTTGGAAGACTACCACTAGTGCATCCACTATCACTGCAGCTTCTCTTAATATCGTAGGATGCATCCCATCAGTTTCAGAGGACTGAATCAGTCAATAAGCCCAGTAATTTTCCTTGTACTTTTATCCAACAATATCCAACTGTATTTCCTCTCTCCTTTATGCACTTGATTATTTAGTAATTTTGCAATGCTATTAGTGTTTCCGATTGTGAAGGCAGTAAGGTATTTATTCAATTACTCTACCAGTTCCTGACTCCACAATATTATTTCCCTATTTTAATTTTAATCATATTAATTTTTTGACTTTCACGTGCAACCTTTCCAGAGTCTGAATATTCTTCACAGCCATTGTGCTAAATTGATCAAATTAAACAGCAATAGGCCAAAAATTAACATTGAATCAGAGATAGTAGGAACTGCAGATGCTGGAGAATCCGAGACAACAAGGTGCAGGGCTGGATGAACACAGCAGGCCAAGCAGCATCATAGGAGCAGAGAG